AATTCAAATTTAATAATTTTTTGCGGTATTTTTTGCAAAATTTTGATTTTAAAACCTCGGGAAAAGTCGAAAAAAAATAATTCTTAGCCAACATTTTTGGTTTTAGATATGCGCATTAATAAGGCGTCGTTTAAGCTATTCCTCATTAAGATCTTCGGATAAACGGTCAACTTGCAGCCGTTTGACCAAATCGACTCAAAACTAATTTTACCTGAAATCAGTGCTTCTATTTTTTATATAACTTAAGTATCTAATATCTGATTGCAAAGAACTTTGCAGTTCTGAAAAGCTGACAAATTCAGCTATAGATCAAACGCATGCACTTTGTATCTGCAGCTTAACGCCTGGAAGATATTAAGCTTTCAAATTTCATCATTTTCTTGCGGTATTCTTTCCCTAAATTTTGACTTTATAAACTCGGGAAAAGTCGAGAGAAAAACGAGAAGGAACGTGTGAGTCGCTTCTGGGCACGCGACTCTACTTATACCCGTACTCAGTCAGTATAAGTATATAAGCTTATAAGTATTTAAATTTTTAAATTAAAAAAAAATTTTACATTTTACATTTTTTTGCTACATCTGGTTTCTACATCTACATGTATAATTTACATCTAACATGTAGATTATAGATGTACCATTCATATTCGACATCTCATCTGCTAGGGGTTGCTCGCGCACTGAGCGAGGCAGAGTGTGCGAGCGAGAAAGAGAATCAGTATCGGTCAGTCGGTCTTAGTACATCATCAAAATAAACGTAAGGTGTCGCCGCACGCTGCATCAAATTAATAGCGCTACCGGTATCCAACATGGCAGAAAGAAATTTAATATGATACCTGCGTTTTATATCAGTGTAAAAATATACCCCTACCTGATTCATAATAGGAACAAACATATTGTGCATCTCCCCGTCGTCCATCATCGGCTGGTTGCTGGCTGCATTCACAGATCGTTGTGTTGGCACCGGCTTCTGTTGGCAATCCTTCACCTTGTGCTGCATGGACCCACACTGGAAGCACGATCCCTTTCTTCCGCAGAGGTGCGGGACACGATGAAGCGTAAAGTCCGTGTTCTGAACAATTATAACAGCGCACCTGGTTCTGGTCAGGTCCTGATGCACTCATATCACAGCGCTTGAAATTCGTCTGGGTATTCTTCCTTAAAGCCTCGTATTGACGGGCCAGCTCCTTGAGTTTTCGAATGGTCGTCACTGAATACAATAAGGCGATACTGGTAGAACGATCGCGAAAACCATCAATGATAAACTGAACCGTTAATTTTTCTTCGATGTCGGCACGCATAGCAATTTCTTCCATCAGAAGAATGTATCCCATTACGGAGTTCTTCCCTGGGTTGAAAGTGGTTTCCTTCAAGAGCAGTACCACATCAGCAGTTGAATTACTGCGACCAACAGTTTTCAGGAAGTTTTCTTTAAACTTTTCGTTAGTCTTCGATTTGTCGACACGCATGAACAAGTCTACTTCTGTTCCCGCTTACATCAACATTCGCACACAACGAAGTCGAAAATGGTTGCTTTTATTCACGCCTGTACACATCCGTTCAAAATCCAAGATCCATTTGGAAGCTTCATCATTTTCACTGGCGGAAAATGGGGTAACAAGCTGCTTGACCATTCGGATATCGTCCGTCACATTATTATCCATTGTCTTTAGAGCGGCTAGTTTCTTCTTCTTCTCAGCCACGTTGGGCAAGTCTTCTTCTTTTAAATCGTCCATTTGATCGCATTCAGACACTTTTCCCTCAATGTTAACGTTATGGTGGTTTCCAATTTCCAATATCTCTAGACTTCCAGATACCTCTTCCATTCCACCACTTATGGCAAGTTTGCGAAGCTGCCTTAGTGTTGCGCTTGCTGGAAAAATTATCTCCTTCTCCAGCAGCCACTCTATAATTTTTTCTTTGTCCATCGTTTCATCAGCCATTTATGAAATGATGAAAATACGTGTTGTCGTGGATGCCTTTGATCCTATACTTATGTAGGCTTGTACTTTAAAGTGTCTCGATCCCACTTCTGAAGTTATTGTCGCAGAATATCCACGGATGTTTATTTAATTCTTTGATTTGTTCCGCAGGTCAAATGTTAGTACTTCTCTCAATTTCGTTCAGCCAGGAAGTGACTCTGTCTCCCTCGCTCCGATCTCTCGTTTAGTGTCAATCGATACTTATACGACCAAGACGATATTTTACGCAAGGTGCAAGAGTCGATATTATGTGGGTTAACAATACTAGTGATATTCCCTCTCTGACCTAATTCCGAATAGTTATAGTTCGCAGAACTAGAACTATGATCTTATTTTATACAAGGTGCAAGAGTAAATGTAAATACAGTTGTAGGTAAACGATAATAATAGTAATACAATCAAACAATACCCCTTAACTCTTTTTTGATTACGGGTATAAAAAAACATCAATCATGGGTTGGTTTGGTTTTGTGGACAGTCAGACTAAAGATAGCGCATCCAATGTGGTCAATAACGTAAAAATTATTGATCACACAGATAGCATCCAGGCCCTATGGGTGTTGCTTTTGATTTTGACTATTGTCAGTGTTTTACAATTCTTGTTAACATTGTATGTAAAACACAACAAGATCAATAAAACGAGATATATGAGTAGGGCAATGAATCTAGATAGGGTCTAATTCATTACAAAAAAAAAGAATTAAAATGTCTTTTATGAAACAAAATGTCCCATATATGTAAATATAAAAAAAAATTAAATAAAACATGACTACATTGAAAATAATAGAATAAGTTTACAATAGGGACACCGATTTTTCCAATAGAATTCTACAACGGGTCTCAACGACCCCGAGGAGCATAATAGAGCTCGAATATATGTACATGGGTACATTTAAATTAGACTTCTCACTTTTAATACATTGTTCAAAAACACAAAAAGCAATTGTGTTGACTACCATTACAGGTATCGCAGTAAAATCTGTAATAAATGACTTATTGACTTTGTAATATTTAAAAATTAAATTCAAGAATGAAAAGGCAGCAGATGAAAATGAATTACTAGGAAGAATTGTGGTTGCAAGATCGGATAATTATAGCCAGAATGAAGAAATTAATTCTCTGTTGCTTCCCCTGCCCCCTCCTGCAAACGATAACGCAACTAATTTTCCTTCTCGCTCGCACACTCTGCCGCGTTCAGTGCGCGAGCAACCCCCAGCGGAGGAGATGTTAAATCTAAATGGTACATGTAGAATATACATGTTAGATGTAGAATATACATATTATATGTAGATGTAAATAACAGATGTAGCAAAAAATTTAATTATAAATAATTATATGCTCAAAAATGTATATGCTGACTGAGTACGGGTATAGTAGAGAGTCGCGTCCCCAGAAGCGACTCACACGTTCCTTCTCGTTCATGATGCAGACAATATTGATTTCGTGTTGTCGACGAATTGAGTGATGTAGAAGACAACATATTTTCATATTTCCCAACATTTGCAGGAAATTATTCTCCAATTGAATAATTTAATTTATTTATCGACGATGAAGTTATTGACTTGATTGTGGAGTGCACCATCGAGTATGCTGTGACAGACAGGAGCAATGCATCGTTTTCCACAGGTACGGCCGAAATAGGAAAATTTATTGGCACGGCAAATACACGGCCAAATATGATTAGCTATTGGTCTATGGATCCAGCATTGGAATGTTTCGTTGGTTCGTAAAACAATGTCACGTAACCTCTTTCTGGACTTAAGGCGACAATTACATGTCTGCCATAATCGTACAATAGATGAAAATGACAAATTCTCTATAGTTACACAATTGAACGATTTGATGAATGTAAAATTCATGCAGTTTGGAGTTTTCAGTCATTATTTATGTGGGGTTTTTGGTTTAATATTAAGTTTAATAAATGATGAAATACAGTATTTGGTACAAGAAATAGAATTTAAGCGTCGTTTGCGTCTGGTCTTTTTCCACAACCCTCTCACGTCGGCAACTGGATTGAAACTCTCTCGGCCACTCTTTTCCCGATCGGGTTTGTGCTCTCGTCTTAATTCGCCATAGTTCGTGCTTGCTGTTGTGCTTTGGGAATTCGCCTGGGTGCGAATTCGCTCACCCTCTGTTTGTCTAGGGATTTGCAAAACACAACCCACATTTATTTGGTTTGGATTTAAGTATTGGGCTTTGTGTTCGGTTGAAGGCTACTTATATTAATTTATTCCATATGGCGGTGCCAATGAAGTTCCGGATTTGTCATACATTGAGTATGGTTTGGGAGAAACAGTGGTTCCCAATCTGTTGAGTTAGCTGAAGAATCCATTGCAACATTCCGTTGAATTCGACAACTTTTTACGTCTTATAGATTGATGTCTCGACTATCACAAATGAATTACTTTTACACAGGCACTGTTCGAGACAACCGAAGCAACCACGCTCCACTTGTGGATATTAGATCGTTGAAAAAAAGGGAGCGTGGTTCGTTGGATTATATATGCGACAACGGAAATGAATTTTTGATCGCCCGGTGGAAATATGAAAATAATCTCAAGCTTTGAAAATTAAAATATTTAATTTTTGAAAATTTGTATATCATTAATGACCAATGGTCGAAAAATCGACCACCACAGCCCAATCCGGCAGACATAAAAACATTACTTTTTTACTTTTATAGCATTCGTATTAAGTTTCATCAAATTTCAACCAGCGGTTTAGATGCGGGTTTACATATTACAACAAGATAATTTAAAAAAGTTGTTCCGCAAAAAAAAAAAAACATCATTAATTTGTACTAATTCTTTTAAATCCCCAAATCTATCAGAAAACGTTGTTTTGGTTCCTTGAGGAAAAAAGAGTTCGATTTTGTTGAGAAGCACAATCAGGCAAGGTCGGGAAAATTATACCGGCTCGTCTATAGGCGAAAGCTTTTCTATGTAATAAGAATAATAATATTACCAAACGTTCAAATTTTTAAGTCTGTAAATATGTATATTTTTAGACTTTATGCCAACAAAATCGTTTTTGTTCTAATATTGAGCGATTTAAATAGTAGTAAATTCGTTAGTTTTTCGATTTTCAGTATCCGGAGCATGGTTTTAAAAAAAAGTTTTTACAAACTACCATTCCAAGATTTAACATTCTGCTCGAAAGAATCTATTATTCCATGGAACCCAGATACTTTATCCAATTCTGTTATATTGTCCCAGTTTTGTTCATTAATCCACCCTATATTTATACAATTTTAGAAATTTTAGAAATATTTACAGTAATGTACGTATTACTCACATGGTGCCGGATTAGGAGCCTGCCCTTGTTTGTCTAAAACAATCCCACCTTTTAATATAAAATCGTACTCGTCTTCCATAAGTTTTCCGGCATTTGAAAGTATTTTGGCTGTCATATGTATTGAAAATAAAAGCTTATGTCTTTCAAAAAGTCCTCGACATGTATTACGGTATACCGAGTATGTATGATAGTCGTTAATATTCTGTATCCGCTCATGTACCAACTGGTTACGAGGACTTCGTTCAATAGAGTGTGTGAAGAGTAATATGTAAGCTGCTAATGAAAAGACATACATGGGATCAATTTTTGACATGTCCATTAGCACAAAGAATAAAATAGCTGCACGTTCTGATGCTGGTTTATATTCTTGACGAGCTGCATCAATCTCTACCTCAGTAACCTCGGCAATAGTAAGAGATTCCTTAACCAGTACAGAAGTTTGCCGGGATTTCTGCAATGTTGAGAAGAGTTCATCATCATCTAATAATGAACCTCGGCTCTCATTAAGTAAACGAAGTATCTCGTTATCAAGATCAATTAAAGTTCGTTTGTTACGGGCTATAGTTAAAACCAGCTCATCTTTTTGTTCTTCCAGCGCCGGTTTTTCTTTACGCACTATGATTCCTAATAGTTGTGCTTCTAGCCCATCCTGTTTTAGAGCAAAGTTAACTATAGTGGTTTTAGATGAAATTTCAGGAGGATAGTGAGGATTTGCTATCTTTGTTGTTATATAAAATCGAAATTGATCGTTATAGGAAATGTACTTGTCGTTAAATTTGAGTAGTTTTTCACCACTCTGTATGGTGAAACTTCGACGAAGTATTGGATTAATGGCTTGGTCCAAATTTTCTCCAACATTTTGCAATAAAACTGGAAGCCCTTCTTTAACAGCTCGTTCCAATTGACGAATATAATCAATCATCCCAAAGTCAATAATTATAAGCTGATTAAGTTCCTCCATATTCTTAATCCAGTTATTCGCTTGCATCTGCGGATCAATAACAAGAGGCCAGCGACTTCCTTGTGATACTATTACACCATTTTCTGTACTTAAGTCATCAGCTGGCAGACCTTGTATATTCCATTCACGGATGGAAACAGCATCACTAAGAAAAGTTGTTATTTTTAATTCTGATGTAACCGGTATAAGAAGATCTTTAATTAACTGTGACCACTTGGATAACAAATCTTCCCGGTACTTTGTATCAAATGCTCCTAAATATGACATAAATGCTATAGACAACAAGCAATCTCCAGGAAGCTTTTCGAATGAAAGATCTAACTGAGCAACCGTTTCTATCCAACGCTCTCGTTCTCCAGATAATGATTCTACTAAGATAATAGCTCGTTCTAATTGTTTTCGCAGACGCTCTTCTTTCGCTCGCAGTTCATTGAGAAGTTGGGTTTTTTCATTCAATTGCCGATACAGTTCTTCAATAACTGCTTGTAATTCTTCAAGTTTTTTTTTAGCTGCTGCTAACGCTGCCTGTTTTTCTTCAAGTGACCTTATAGCGTTATCTAGTTTTTCTTGCTTAGGAGCCACAATTCGATAAACTTTTCCATAGTTTTCTATTGCCATTATCCATTGCATCAAAGATTTACAAGCAACTGACACAACAGCTACCTTATCTGGTTCTAGTTCCGGATTTTTTGTATACATGGCAATTCTCTTAAGAGTTTTATCTGACACGTGGTCACGGTCAAAGTTCTTAAGGTCATTTAGAAATGTCGATTCACTTAATACTTTCTTAGCGTTTTCCCAAGTGGGTTCTTTTCCAAGTAGTATTAAAACTGCTTCCATCACCTTTTCAATTTTCATTGGGGGGCGTCCGTATGATTTAACTTCAGCAATATCTTTTTTATTAAGAGCATCTAATGCCTTTACGGCAGCGTCTATCATGGGCATTACCACTTCTAAGTCGGCACGTGCCGTGGCGGCCAAATCGAGACAAATTACTTCTTCCCGTCTAATTATCACAGCTTCCGCATCAACCTTTTCCTTTTGCTCAGTTGCCTCGGTCTTTTGTATTTCAATCATTGATATAAACTCTTCACATTCTTTAGCAAGTATTTTAACTTGTTCTGAACTAATTTTTAACTCCTCTGACATTAAAGAAACCTTTTCCTGCGTTTCGGCAATTTTTGATAGGCCATTACGTAATCTATTGGCTGCCGTAGATACTTCCAAACGTTTTTTTTCAAGGAGCTCCTTGAAACCGCTAACAAGTTGTAAATAGTTTGGTGATGTTACGTAATTATACCTCTTAACTTGCTGTAACATTAGGTCTGACATTTTTACAACACTTGAATGAATAATAGAAAATGCATGTGCAATGTCTCGATGAAGTACACTCTCCGTAGTAATAACTAAGCTATCACGATTTTTTTCATCCTCTTTTCCTGGAACAAGAACGTTAAGCTTAAATCCGTGCATAAAATGAGAAGCTACTTCCAAAAGAGCTTCTTGTGGCCATAGTCTGAACCAATTCGGAGTTGTCGAGCTTAGCAGAGCTGGATATTGCCTTATGTAGCTTCTAAAATTTTCTCCAATAGGACTAAAGCAAAGTGCTATATGCATAAAATCGCGTACATTTAGCATAAAAAATGAGTACATTGATTCCGTTGTTATTACAATTCCAGCTTTTTTTGCTGGTCGTTCGAGCTCACTTTTAAGTTCATCAAACTCATCAGACTTGAAAAGGTTTATTTCAGCAGTACTTAACATATTGTTTATTATTTCCAAAAAAGAGACCTCAGCTATTTGTTCACTACTAAAAATAAATATCGTTGTACGCTGTTTTATTCCTGTTAACTTATAAAGATTTTTTAAATCTTCGCGTAAGTCGCTTGTCTTATATTTTTTTGTTACTTCAATTTGAAATATTCCCATTTCTAAAATAAATGCGGCTAGTTTGGCAAGTACTTGTCGGCCTGAGCCACCTATACCCATATTAAGAATATGGCCACGCGGTTGCGAAATCACTCTCAGTATCCGCACAACTTGTTCAATAGCTTCTTTAAAAAAAACGAGGTTCATACGTGTCATCGCTGGAAAATTGTTAAACTCATTTAATTGAGCTTTCATATACGTTCGCAAGGCATCAATTTCAAGATCTTCATAAAAACCTTGTGGGTGAACAAAGTCGCCAAAAAGTGGAGGTAGCTTCGAAGGGCAAAGGCTATGGAAAGTAACTTCAAAATGTTTTCCTAAAGTATCATTAATTGTATTCAGGAACCAAAGATAATCTGTATCGTCAACAAGTCGATCGCAAAAAACGCGAAAACACTCGTGTATCCATAGACGCAAGAAAAATGATTTTTTAGTTTGTAGTTCCTGTGAACTTCTTAAAAGACCTTGAAAAACTTTTGAAATGTCTCGAAGATTAAATAGGTAATGCGACTTATTTGGTGTTGGCAGCATTTTACCAATAACAGCTACATATAAATAAATGGTACATTGTGTTATCGGAAGCCACATCTCACGAACTTCGTTCGAAAAGATCTCCAGTTTTTGCCTAAGCATGGAACCGAATATTCGGACTATTGTTTCCTGAGTAGGAAAAGTTAGATTTAATAAGACAAAGCGACTTTGAGTACGACTTGAAATCATTTGTCTCCCGCCACCAGGAGGACCCATAGCTGCCATCAACAGGGTGTTTTGGACATATATTTTTTGCTGTGTTTTGCGATTGAACCAATATTTATAATCAATCCATTGCCGTATTAGCTCTAATGGTGGTTGAGACCCATAAGTGTCTTTGGCAGGCATATTGAAGTCATCCATAAAGCATATCATTCTTTTACCACCTATAGGTAAAAATTGTGTTTTCGTACGTTTTTCAGTTCGATTTTCTATTGATTCCTGTAGCCCAGCTGCAGTAGTCTGTGCAGACATGTTTACGGACAGAACGCAGAACTTGTGTTTGTCACATGATTCCATTACACTCACTGCAGTTGATGTTTTTCCCGTGCCAACATTTCCAACAAGCATTACGGGATAATCTTCAGATAAAAGTTTTGATACTACATATTCATAGCGCATGGTATCACCAGTCGGAACAAGTATTTTATAAAATGGACATCTAAAAATATAATAATATTAGCAATAATAATATAATAAGTGGATTAAATTTAAGATAATATACATATGTAAAAAGTCGATTCTATGGACGCGACTCTTGTTTTATACCCGTACTCAGTCAGTATATAAATTTGTGAGCTTATGATTTATGTAGAATTTAAAAATATTTTACATTTTAAAATTTTTTGCAACATCTGTTATTTACATCTACAATGTCCATTCCACATCTGAAGTGTAGATTATACATACATAATGAAGATTCTACATCTTCTCCGCAAAGGTGTGTGCGAGCGAGAATGAACAGCGACAGCAGCGCTGGAGGAGTTGGGGGAAGCAACTAAAAATTTCTTTGTTCTGGCTATAATAATGATCCGATCTGATTCAGATTCGGCAACTTGGTCATTCTCTACGATACTGTTAGTTTTATCGTATCTTTAAAATTGTGCCTGCCACATATGTTCGTCCTTTGTGGGGGCGAAAGGGGGCAGGGCGAAATTTTGAAATACACTTGTAGCAGTGTGATATCACATGAGTCTGGAGACCCAATTTGGTTTATCTAGCTCTTATAGTCTCTGAGATCAGGCGCTCATCAAGACGGACAGGCGGACAGAAGGACAGACGGACATGGCTACATCGATTCGGTTATTGATGCTGATCAAGGATATAGGTATTCTTTATGGAGTCGGAAACGTTTCCTTCTCTGCGTTGCACACATCCACTTTTACCACAAATAGAATATACCCTTTAACTATTTTTTGAGTACGGGTATTAAAATGGAGAGATTAAAATGTATAGTGCATCAGCACGTAAGAATAGCTGGGCAAAAGTAATTTCGTATTTATTTTCTGTATGGAAGTTGAGTTATGGAACTTGAAGATGAGTTCATTATTCTTCAATTGAATTATTTGTTTTTGGGCCAGCGGCTATTTAAGCGTCTATTTCATAATATTAAATGTAGCTGTACCTATTTGTATAGGAGTAAAATTATATAGTCTCCAGCGTTCGGCAGTACTGCTGCGCTCTCCCTGTTAAAGGGCGCTCTGCACCTGCTGCTTTGGCTCATGCTTTGATCGGCCGTCGAGGCCTAAGTCAGTTCTATGCTAATCTCTCGCCGCATAGGTTGCATACCGAACCCCCTCTTGTGTACATTTATCTGGCCGGGCAAAAGAGCGAGCACTTAGCTTCAGCTAGCCGCCGGTATAAATACACTGATAGAAAAAAGCCATAGTAAAAATAACTGCAATCATATTTGAATTTAAAATGTGATTTTTAAATACAAACATAGTAAAATTAAATATAATTCACTTTGATTCAAATATAATTGTATTGAAATGGCTTGTTTAATACGGTCATATATTTTATATTAATACAAAACACTTTAAAATAACTAATATATTAAATTTGTAGTTTAATATGTTTCATATTAATATTTAATATTATTGTGATTTAATTTGAAAATATTTTTTTTTGAAATCAAAGGTAAAAACTTTAAAAACAAATATAATATATTACATTTGTAGTTTAATATGTTTCATATTTATATTGAATACTATTATAACTTATTTTAAAATATTCATTTTGAAATCAATGACAAAAACTTTTTATTTTAAATATTCGATATTATATGAAATTTGTTTATTTATTTTTTGTGATTTATTGTGGATTTATTTAGCTGCTGCCGCCTTAGTGACTATTGGATAAAGTTAATACATACATATGTATACACACTGTGTACATTTACATTAGAGCCCTGCATGAACGAGCAACCGAATCGATTCGCAGGGATTCGGTATTCGCTTCGTCCAATTCCATTGAATCACCGATTCGGCTTTCTCATAACTTCGAATTGTACGCCCAAAACGGACCGAACGAATCATGTCTCGTAATTTTTACTGTGTCCGATCCGAACAGTTCGGTTTTTTCTCTGTTTTACTCTTCACTTGATTTTCTGGTAGAGAGAACGAGAAAGCAATACACAAATTTGTTGATTTTTTGCTTTGCCCACGGCCTGAAAATATTTATTTGTTTCTGTGCCTTTGTCTCTGTGCAATATTATTTTACATAAATAGTGTACATGTTCACGCATACAAAGGAAGTTTTCTTCGTAGTGTGTTTTTAATCAGTTCAGAGCCATGCGAACGAAGCTTCGCAGTGCTCGGATTCGGTTTTTTAGTGATAAGGGGGATTCGAATCTGACTGCAGGCATGATTCCTAATGATCGAACGCATTGAAGGGGCATGAGTATACTGTGATATTATGAATCATGTGGATTCGTGCAGGACTCTAATTTACATATGTAGTATATCGTTTAAATAGATTCATACTTTAATTTAACACCAGTTGGTACTTTTGCATTGTTTTAATTACACTAGTCAACAAGAAAATTAGGCTGTGGCCCAAAATTACTTTTTCTTACAGATTTCGGGGTTAAAATTTTTTTTTTAATTATGGATTTTTATTTATTGTGTAGTTTTTTTAAATGTTTTTTTTCAGAGGTAGTGCTTCTATTTTCCACATAACTTAAGTATCTTATATCTGGTTGCATAGAACTTTGCAGTTGTTTAGGCAACGCAAAGTTTCTACCGGGGAACTATTTTATATTATAGCAGCTCAGATGTCGTTGCGCCTATGTTTTGGGAGTATGCCTTATGCATCTCTTTCGTAGTTGTTTTGGGAGCTACAGCGATCGGCAAACGTCTACGGTCTGCTCGTAACGCTCTTATACGGCGCTCTCGTACGCTATTGTCGCGTCGCAAGGTGCAGTTAGGACTAGCATATAAGTACTACATAAGTTCAAGAACCACATCGACGGCAATGAACAGCAAGCCGATGATACAGTCTGTAAGCGACAGCCCAGGAAAGCAGAACGCACCCTCTGTGCCAAAATTGTATTTTTAACTTAACCTCTAATAAATCATTACGCAATCATTAAATCCGCGTGTAAAACCTTTCTCTGGGACCAACGGATCCGCCCCCCTAAGGAACGTCCACTGCCGCCACAGGTGTAATACCACTTTGTGTGCCGCATCATTATCTCAGCAGATTGGGGCTCCGTCAAGGCGCAGCCGTAAACCAACATATTTTTGGTGCCGAAACCCGGGACTGCTTTGCTTGGGACTGGCTGGAAACAAACCGTTGGTCTTCGTTGGACACCTTTAAACAGTGGAAGGTTCATTTACGCAAGGTTAGTGCACTTGTGAGTTGTTGTGTGATAGAGAGTTGAGTCATGGCCGAAGGTGTAGTGGAATTAATTTGCGAGCAAGCTGCGTTGGTAGACTCGGTGAAGCGTATGTTGGAAAAGTTCAAAAATGATGAGACCAGTAAATCTGAAGCGCATATGGAGGCTAGATTGGAAGCTATGACCACGGTACATGCGGAATTTCGCGCGAATCATCGTAAGCTGATACGGTCGGAGGATGATTTGGTGAAGCCGGGTTATTTGGAGGTGGATCTTGAAGGGCAGTTTGAAGAAGCGTATATCGATTGTGTCGCGCAAATTCGAACGGAATTAAACATCTCGAGAGGTCGGATTCTTGCATCAACGCTCATCTCATCCGGTGAAGTGCAGCGAAATGGGTCCACCGAACCTACTGGTGTTAGCGGGTCAGCCGGTGTTGAAGAGGTTAAACTTCCTAGAGTGAAACTACCCATGTTCAGTGGAGAATTTGTGGATTGGCCGGCATTTAAGGAAATGTTTGAAGCTCGGGTCCATAATTGTCCTAGACTCACGGATTTGCATCGATTTCACTACCTCAAAGATTCTCTTTCAGATGAAGCGAAAAGGGATATACAACACCTTACTCTGATAGAATCTAATTACAGTGTAGCTTGGCAAATGTTGTTGAAATTGTATGATAATAAGCGAGTGTTGTTTCAGCATTATATGCAGGTTCTCGAGCAACAGCCCATGGTCCGTAACGACGACCCTGTGTCGCTAAAAGGGTTTTTGCAAACTTGTCGTTCATGCATTAAATCGCTGGAGAAGGTGGGGGTGGATCTCACCCATCAGAGCCACATTTTGGTATACCTGATGACGAAGAAGCTGCCAGCGCAGATACGATTGGATTGGGAAAAATCGATAGCTCAATCGCAAGAGTTACCAACTTTCGAGGAGCTGTCTACCCAGCTAGACGGTCAGTATAGGACGATGGTCACGACAGCCTCAGCTGACAGAGTGTTGTCATCGAACAAGGAGAGTAAAGGCGCTGCTGGGTCCGGCGTAAAACGCAGGGATGTTAAATCTTCATTTGTTGCCCGATCGGTGGATCAATGCGCAGTCTGTGGAACTGAAGGTCATTCCATAGTCGACTGCAAGGTATTTGGAGGCATGAATGTAACAGACCGGCGGGCATCGGTGATGAAGTATCGCTTGTGTTTCAATTGTTTGGGAAGCAACCATCAGTCTCGCAGGTGCAGGCTAAAAAACAATTGTTCGATTTGCACAGACCGACACCACACTCTTGTCCATGTGAAGCGTCAAGTAAGGGATTCTGGGGATCAGGTGCAACAGATCACGTCGAATGTCATAAATGGTGCGCCCGCTATAGGAACGCAAAAATATGAGGTACTGCTGCCTACGGCGTTGGTCACCATTGAGTCATCAGAAGGCTTCCCGTTGCAATTTAGGGCATTCTTAGACCAAGGATCGCAAGCTTCGTTTGTATCGGAAAACGTAGCGCAAAGACTAGGATTGTGTCGACAAAAGACACATTTAAAGGTAAACGGGTTATCCAATGCGCGGATTACGGAAGCATCCTCTTCAGTTCTGTTGAAAATCGGATCACGGTTTGAACCGCAAGTGAAGTACAATGTCACAGCGTATGTTTTGCCGAAGGTTAGTAAGAGGATGCCGGATCGTCGGATATCGATGGAAAAATGGACTCATTTCAAACATCTATGTTTAGCAGATCCCAATTATTTTGTACCCCAAGGAGTGGATATTTTGCTAGGTAGTGACATATATGATGAATTGATGTTGAGCGAGATACATCGTGGACCTGCAGGCACGCCTATCGCGCAGAACACCCGTTTAGGGTTCATTATCTCAGGGAAGGTCCAGGATTATGCAACTAACGCATTGGTACATACGGTTCAGGTGGTCCAGGATGATTCATCTGCGGAATTGGAAGGGTTGCTCCGACGGTTTTGGGAGCTTGAGCAGTATGAGCAAGAATCTGGAGGATTATCGAATGAAGAACAATGGTGTGAGGAACATTTTCTAGAAACATACAAAAGGTTGTCGTATGGGAAATATGTAGTGCGGCTCCCATTGTTATCGACATTGGACCCTAGCGCAGTGATTGGAGCGTCGTACCGGCCAGCTCTAAAAAGGTTGTGCCACCTGGACAAACGTTTACGGAAGGATGCCAAGTTGAAGGAAATATATTCCCAAACGATCCGTGAATATTTGGAACTAGGCCAAATGAAGAGGGCTTCCTCCCAGTGGAGCGACGTTGAAGATCAAGGTGTATTGATGGCCAAGGGGGGAGCCACACATTGCTATTTACCCCACCATCCAGTGATTAAGGAATCCTCGACAACAACAAAGGTGCGTGTTGTATTTGATGGGTCAATGAAAACGAGCAATGGAAAGGCGTTAAATGAAGTATTGGCGATCGGGCCAAAACTGCATCGGGATCTACCGAGCGTGTTGATTAACTGGAGGTCGTTGAAATACGCATTCATGGCAGATGTCGAAAAGATGTACAGGTGCATCAATGTCCATGAGAGGGATGCTCAATACCAAAGGATTCTGTGGAAACCGGATGAAGGCGATCAAATTGAGGAGTACGCATGTTGCACGGTGATGTTTGGCACGAGCTGTGCTCCATATTTGGCCATAAGGGTCATGCAACAATTGGCCCAGGATGAAGCTCATAACTACCCGTTGGCTGCAGATGTACTAAGACGTCAAATGTATGTGGATGACGTTTTATCAGGAGCGGATAGTCTGGCTGATGCCAAGGATATTCAAACTCAAGTCATCGGGATGATGAAAAGTGGAACGTTTGAATTACGTAAATGGGCTAGTAATTGCACACAGCTGCTAGACGGAATCCCTCTGGAGCACCGTGAGACAATGGGACCGGTAAATTTGCAGGGCGATGAAATGATACGTGCACTGGGCTTATATTGGAACCCCAGTGAAGACGAATTCCGATTTCATTTAAACTTCGATATTCCGACAGGTACACCGACGAAGAGGAATATATTATCCACGATTGCAAGGCTATTCGATCCGATGGGTTGGCTAAGCCCAGTAACAATAGTGGGACGGCGTCTTATGCAGACCTTATGGAAAACAAAACTTAATTGGGATGACCATGTTCCGCTATCTATTCAAAGGGAATGGGAGAAATTCACACTGGAGTTGCCAAATTTGTCGAAGGTGCATATACCACGGTATATAGCTTGGGGAATGTCAGGCGTTATTCCGCAGTTGCACATATTTTGTGACGCCTCCATGAGTGCATATGGTGCAGCAGCCTATTTGCGGATGCGAAAAGAAGAGGAATCTTTTCATGTGGAGTTGGTGGTAGCAAAATGTAAGGTGTCGCCTATAAAGCCACAGCTTACAATCCCACGAGCCGAGTTGTGTGCAGCAGTTATGGCTGTCAAAATATTCAAATATCTAAAGGACCAAATAAATATCCCAGTTGATTTTTCAAAAACGGTTTTCTGGTCGGACTCAATGATCGTTCTGAGCTGGATTCGAGGAGGAGCTACGAGATGGAAGATGTTCGTTGCCAACCGAATCAGCAAGATTTTGGAGCTAACCGATGGGAAACAATGGAAACACGTTGCCTCGGAGGATAACCCCGCAGACCTTTTAAGCCGTGGAGTCAATGTGACGAAGTTGTCTTCCTGCCAATTGTGGTGGCATGGGCCGCGATGGCTTCAATCGCCTGAAACGGAATGGCCAACCACAGCAGTATACCATGCAATGGACACAGTAGTGAGCAGCGAAATGAAGAAGGTTGAATGTAATTTTGTATCTGTCACGGACGAGTCCTGTCCCTCCTTACTGGAGAGCTGTTCGTCGTTTACACGCCTAATCCGCGTCATATCATATGTGAATCGGTTCTTAAGGAATTGCCGTGTTACCAAGACTGATCGGAAGGCTGGCTTTCTCAGTATAGACGAGCTAAGCGGAGGACTCTTGTGCGCAGTCCGAATGTGTCAATTGGAAGCTTTTCCCAAGGAATGGAACATGTTAATGAACGGGAAAGGTGCGACCAAAGAGAGTTCGCTGCTGCCACTTAATCCTTATTTTGATAAGGAAGAAAATGTTATTCGGCTTGGAGGCCGATTGAGAGACGCATTACTGTCGAAAGCGGAGAAACATCCGTATATTCTTCCCTACAAGCATCCGCTGACAACGTTGGTTATACGTTTTAGCCATGCCAGTACTCTGCATGGGGGAGCTGCGATTACACTCAGCCATATACGAAAAAGATTCTGGATACTGAACGGGCGAAATGCTGTACGAAAGGAAATTCACCAATGTGTCGTATGTTACAGGTTGAATCCGAAGACCACTTGTCAGCAAATGGGAGATTTGCCAGCGGTTAGGGTTCGCCCACAAAGAGCTTTTGAATCCATCGGAGTTGATTATGCAGGACCGTTCAACATATCCCCTTCTAAAGGAAGAGGTCGGACAGCAATCAAGGGCTACATCGCTGTATTTATATGTCTGGTGACCAAAGCCATCCACTTGGAACCCGTGGGGGACTTGACATCAACCGCATTTATGGGAGCACTGCAGCGATTCATTGGCCGACGTGGGAAATGCACTCACATATATAGCGATTGTGGGACGAATTTTGTTGGCGCAAATCGAAAGCTGCAAGCTGATAAGTTGGCATACAGACGGTACATCGAAAATACTATCCTCTCAAAACTAGCAGATGATGGGATCACTTGGCATTTTAACCCTCCATCTGCACCACATTTTGGAGGACTGTGGGAGGCGGGTGTTAAATCGATGAAATACCACCTGAAGAGGACGATCGGAGTTCGTACACTTACGTATGAAGAGTTGGCTACTGTGCTAGCTCAAATCGAGGCTTGTTTAAACTCTCGGCCACTATGCCCTCTGAGCAATGATCCAGAAGACCTAATGGTATTAACCCCTGGTCACTTTTTAATAGGGGAATCTTTACTTGCTCTACCTGAGGGACAGGTTGATAACATTAGCCACACGGAACGATGGAGAAACTGTCAATATATGGTTCAGCAATTCTGGAAACGTTGGAGCTCTGACTATTTAACGCGATTGCAACGGAGACCGAAATGGTTAGAAAGGAAGGAGAATTTAAAGGCCGGCGACATAGTTATTGTTAAAGACGAGCGGCTTCCGTCTAATTTCTGGCCCCTTGGTCGAATTATGCAAACTCACCGAGGGAAGGATGGTTTAGTTCGAGTGGTCACGCTAAAATCTAACGGGGGCCTGATTAAACGACCGGTTGCAAAGCTCTGCCCTCTACCTATACAAGATAATTGGCTAAATTCTGACATTGACCCTCCACAACACTCATAAACTGCACTCTCTCGTTACAGCGTTGTTTTGAGCTTTATTTTCAGTTCTATTGGCCTGAAGTTGGAAAAAAAAAAAAAAAAAAAACCAATCTGGATTAGACGATACTGAAGCTATCGTCAAGGGGGGAGAATGTTTAGGCAACGCAAAGTTTCTACCGGGGAACTATTTTATATTATAGCAGCTCAGATGTCGTTGCGCCTATGTTTTGGGAGTATGCCTTATGCATCTCTTTCGTAGTTGTTTTGGGAGCTACAGCGATCGGCAAACGTCTACGGTCTGCTCGTAACGCTCTTATACGGCGCTCTCGTACGCTATTGTCGCGTCGCAAGGTGCAGTTAGGACTAGCATATAAGTACTACATAAGTTCAAGAACCACATCGACGGCAATGAACAGCAAGCCGATGATACAGTCTGTAAGCGACAGCCCAGGAAAGCAGAACGCACCCTCTGTGCCAAAAATTGTATTTTTAACTTAACCTCTAATAAATCATTACGCAATCATTAAATCCGCGTGTAAAACCTTTCTCTGGGACCACCGGATCCGCCCTCCTAAGGAACGTCCACTGCCGCCACAGGTGTAATACCACTTTGTGTGCCGCATCATTATCTCAGCAGATTGGGGCTCCGTCAAGGCGCAGCCGTAAACCAACAACCTATCTTTCCTGCATGCTCACGATCGGTTCGGTAAAACGCGTCGCGCGTCCGGCAGACTCCCTGTAGTCAAACGCCTGGCAGATATTAACCTTTATTCCAATTTAATAGTTTTTTGCTTGGTGTCCATGGCCACTTGATGGTGCAGTTAAAAACTTGCATATCAAAGTCCAAAAACAAAACAGGTCTTGGACACCATTAATAGCTCGTTTAAGGTCCATTATCTCGATATCTATTGACCAACGTTGGCCGTATTGCCCTTGTTTGGCCAACATCTGAGCCAAACTTAACCCAAGTTTGTGGTTTTCTCTACCCGAAATTTGGTTTGGTTGCTGTGCCTAGGTATTTATCTACTTTATTTGGCTTGTAATTTAATTTTAATGGACAGGTTTTTTATGAAATAACATCCATTTGAATGTATTTTTGTTCTTTCCTTTTGCACCGATTTTACTTTCTGCATAGAAAATGATCAACACTAAAGACTTAAATTCTACGATTAGTTCTAGGTGGGCCGTAGTGTCAAACAAACGTTCAAGGCCTATTTTCACAGTTTTTTTTTATATTATATTTTATTCCAACTTAGACAGCCCATTTAACCTTGGCACACTAGCCATTCTCTTTTACTTTTGTGGTTTGTTCTCCCAAACCATGGAACAAGTCCTTAGCTAGGGACGGTCGCCATGTAAAAAATTAAATAATTGCAATTAATTAAATAAATATATTAGGCTAAGATTTGTAAACTGTACATGAAATCTCTAATGAGGGAAGATTCAAAAAATTAAATCCAGTTAAAAAAAAAAAAAATTTTATGTCCGCTCACGATCAGAGGGCGAGGAAGGATTTTCAAGCTATTACTGTGCGACTTGCCTAGGCAAGTTCAGTAATATCTTGCTACAAAGCGAAAACCCTTCTTGGCGATCGTAATACGATAGCACTCAAAGCCCACGCATTGTTCCACTTTTCGGATAAATCCCAAGTGAATCGCCAATCCATCATGTATATGGCCAATCGATCGCGCTTGCCACAGCGTGCCGTTGCGCCAAGTTCAGCGGTGCCCATACCGAGTACGTCAAGCTTCTCTTCCCGATTGTTCACTGCTGTGATTGATAGTGAGCTGATCTGACTTGTATCGAAGTGTGCAACATTTGTTTAGTCAGTTGGTTTGGGTGTCAAGCTGCGTGCGTTAGGACACAATTAGTTCATTGGAGGTAGTACACCAGGCCAACTATGCGACTGCATTTCAAAAGCTAGTTTTGACAAATAGGGGCATTGTTTTTGATTATTTTGTAATGTCCCCTTGCTTTCGGGCTGGGTATGGTCTTCTAGTCTGTTCAAAATACCGTGGAATTACAAGTTATTTATAATTCCCGGCGGAATTTACCAAACCAGGAACTTTGCAGGAAGCTGAAATAGAAATCACAACACTTTTTGGTTCTTTTAGATTTTAGCATGGTTTTCTTTGTTCCTCCGTATTCTACCGTGTACGATTATTCTACCCGGCTATGTTATGATTAAGGGTCACCTTGGCCGTCAATGGTGGTTTGACTGACTTCCGCCCTTCGATGGCGTGGTTGTACTGGCCCTCCGATGATGGCTGGTGATCTGCCTTTTTCTTCATGCAAGGCAGGGTGCCTTTTATAGATAGGCCGGCCTTCGATGTCCCATGAATGTCTTATTGGTGTCTTTATACTCCAGACCGGGAAGGGTCTCTTGGCGAATATCTATGGCCAATTAGTAGTGTGCAGTGGTGACGGAGCTAGATCGATAACGAAGGTTTACCTAGTCATTAGCCATGCAGTCAGTGTCCAATATTCCCGGTAAGGAAAGTGGAACTGCTGACTGGCTCGCGGCATTTCTGGGGTTTTGACCGGTCCTTCGGTGCCGAATCAATTCCCCCCAACAAGGTCTTCAATGTCCCAGGTAAGGTGATCCCGGTGTGCACCGGATCTGGAAAAGGAATTTCGCGGTATGCATCCTCGGGAATATTCATTGTTGTGATGTTCATGTTATTTCTAATGATTTTTGGCAATGTACTGTTTAACGCCCCTTCTGGTGGTACTCCTGTCTTTTGGCGTGTGCTGAGTTATGCAAGTTTGCTGGGTGTTGATCGCTTCACCTTCTATTAGCGTTGGCTGCGTCATCTGATGTGACGAACCATTTGATCCATGGTTTCCGTATCCTTTTCCCGGGTGGGTGATGGAAGATTTAGCTGGCGTTCGCTTGGCAGGGTGCTGAGTTCGCTTTATAATTCCGGGTTATCCTGTCCTTTGGCTTGTGCCGGGTCTCCCGATTCGTCGCTGTTAATCTCGTCACTTGCCGTCGGTAACGTTATATTTTCCACTGGTAATGTGATCGTGGCCTTTCTGCTGTTCTGGGTAAGAATTGTAGTTGGTGCTTGGTGGGTCGATTATCCCATATGTTACGATGGTTTTATTCAGTTTTATTTGGTAGTTATTTGTCCAGGCATTGCTCGAATCTGCGTGTGCTATGTTGGGTGACCACGGATCCTTCCGGTGGAGTTCTGGGTCGTCTTCGGTGGGTTCGATGGCTTGGGGGTCAAATGTTTGATTCGGGTTTTTCGGGATGGGTTTGTCAAATGTGCTTGACGGATCGATGCTCCAGTGGTAATCGCTTATGTGGGCGATGATCGGGGAAGCGTTGGACGTTGGGTGCTAGTAGTTTTGGATTCTGGCGGAACACTTAGGTGGTATTGTCTCCAGACTGGTTCATGAACTGGCTGGTCTGGACGATGTCTCTTTTGTTGGACCAATGGCTTGCTTGGGCGACGTAAAATGCTTGAGTCTGCGGGGCCAAGTTGGGTGGCCAAGGATCCAGGAGCTGGTTCAGGCTCATGTTCGGTTGGATCGGCGGCTTTGGAGTCAAATGTCTGGTTGGGGTCTTCGGGTAAGATGGGTTGTGTCGAAAGAGCTGTGTGGTTTGATCCTCCGTTGGTAGTCGCTTATGTGGGCGACAATGGGTGTGGTATCGACCATGGGTATGATGTTTTGGTACGCGGGTGTAGTACTCGTGTTATATTACAGCCAGACTGGTACGTGAACAGGTGAGTCGCGATGACGCCTCTGGTATCGCAACAACGACTTGTATGGGCGACGAAGATCTCGGACATGGCTCTAGGCATGGCTCGGTGCATGGCGCTAAGAATCATGTCAGTACGCGGAAGGTACTCCAATTGTGTGGGCGAAGATCTGTGTGGCGTCGGCCGTGGGTACGACAGGGCTGCGGTCGGTGTATCGTGGGGTCATCGTACTGGTTTCCGGGCCCGAGTTGAAGGGCTCTGTGGATATCAGTTAATTTATGGGCCCCGACCAGGGTGGGGTGAGCGTGGCTGTTTCCCTTGTTGCTGGGCTGTTGATCGGTTGCTGCCGTTGTCGGTGTCGATGTTGTTGTCTTGGTTCAGGGTTAATTGTCGTCTCTGAGGCTGTTTCTGTGTTCACTTTCTCCTGGGAGGAGATGGTACTTACATGCTCTGTTGCTGGACTTTGACCTGGGCTTCCTGTGTCGAGCGCCGGGTTCCAGTGCGTTAGTGTTTGTCTCGTGGGTGAGATTCTCGTAGTTTCTTTGGGGTATGTGTCCCCTGTGGTTGGCCTAGGACGCGGTTGCTCCGTAGTGACCGTGGGACTCGTTTTCCCGGTTGCTTGATTGTTGTTTCGTGTTGTTGGCTTCGGCTTCATGTTCGTGGACCGGCGCTTTGCCTCTGCTGGGGCTGGGCTGGGTGTCTTGTTCTTCGTGGCGATCTGGGTCGTTTTGTTCGTTGGGGTAGGTCGTGGTCGTGTGTTCGCTGAGGTTTGTATGGGTGTCATGTTGGCGTTGCTGGGTGCCGGAATCGTTGGGATAGGTTGCGGACGTATGACGGCCGCCGTTGGCTTCGGTTTCTGGTGTCGGGGTTCGTTGCCTTGTGCTCTGTTGGTCGGAACGGTGTGGATATGTGGTGTGGGGCACTGATCTCGTAATTGTAGAAGTGTGGTACCGCACTGGATTGTTGTTTCAATGGCGCATAGGAAGTCCATGCCGACGATAACTTGGTCCAACATGTTTGGTAGGACAAGGAAGGGTATTTGAACTTATCTTTGATCCAGCCTGATGTGCGCCAGTAGAATCTGGGTGATCTCTCTGACCGAGCCGTCGGCCAGGCTTATGCGGACGCATGCATCTTGCAGGTTGGTGTTGTTGTCTAGTTGTCGGGCGAGGTTTGCACTAATAAAGCTTCGGGATGCCCCTGTGTCGACGGTGGCTTCCGTTGCCTGTCCTCCTATGGTTACTGTTCGGGCCAGCGGCTACTTAAGCGTCTATCACAATATTAAATGTAGCTGTAACTAGTATAAGAGTATCGAAACCTAAGCTTATGTATGTCCCCAGCGTTCGGCAGTGCTGCTGCGCTCTCCCTGTTAAAGGGCGCTCTGCACCTGCTGCGTCGGATCTTGCATTGATGGGCCGTCGTGGCCCAAGTAGTTCTATGCTAATCTCTCGCCGCATAGGTTGCATACTGAACCCCCGCTTGTGAACATTTATCTGGCTGGGCAAAAGAGCGAGCAATTGGCTTCAGCTAGCCGCCGGTATAAATAAACATTATAACGTTTAAATCAAAGTCTTTAACTGATTTGGATAAATATAGGTGCCAAAAAAGCTTGGCATCTCAAACATTGGTGACCCCGACGTGATTTAACTACAATTTTTAATCGCGTTTCGTTTAAAACTATAAAAATCGAATAAGATATTCGTTGCTGTGCCGTTTAACGACCAACAAATACATTTTGTGAAAATAAGAACAGTTAAAGTGCAAGTTCAGTGCGACTGCAGCCGTCTAATATTCCGTTGCTTA